TATTTTCTGTGGTCTGTGTTGGTCTCTAATCAGCATTTAATATTTACGAATCATGCTCAAAATAGTTTTAAACATTTTACTGACTTGTATTAAGGCGATACTGTATTAAAAAATAAAATAGCTACCGGCCCATTCATGGAAACTCCCCGGCCCAATGAAGGCGACCGGTTTCCTTCATTGGGCCAATGACACTTATTTTTATTTTCCCAATATTTACTTAACCTTTCATAATTGCAACGTCTACTTCTAGATATGTGTAGTATGAAAAGTAATATTTACATTAACATGTACAAAACTCTAAAATTCCCAAATTTGACGATTTTAAGGAGCGTTTTGTTAAAGTGGCCCATCGATAGCAACCTTCCCCTAATTGTTAAACTTCTCAGGAACAATAAACAAAACACAATTAATATATACCGCCTCTAATTATGGTGGGGTGTATGTACTGAAACCAGGAGCAGGCGTAGTGAAACAATAATAATCAAGAAATCATTATGAATATGCTCCATGCTGGATAAATACTTTAGTTATTATGACGTACAGTGTCTAATCGTACTGTTATCTCCTCAGTTGCTACTGTTGTTTATTCAATCATTTTATTGCGTTTGATTTAACCGCAAGATTATGTAGCCTTGAATGAGATATGGCAGAGTGATAAGTGGTTGATTGTGGGAGTATGAAAGGCAGCGTCAGTGACCTATTTTAAGATACTACACCCCTGATTTGCACAGGCCAACTGAGGGAAGAGGAATGGTCTGTGGATAGCATTTCTTCGGACGAGATTCGAACCAGGCACCTTCCAGATGCAAGGCAGACACTTTACCGACATACCCGACGCTGGCTCGATAACTATTCGAATATGACATTTGTTTCCGATGAATGCACGAATGACAATAAGTGTATGTTGTCGGTGTTCCAGAAAACGCGGTACAGTACAGAGGAGGAGCTACCTCCACCGCCATCTCCGCCACAGCTGAAGGAGGTTTCGTCCTTGGACGGAGTACCACGACCCACATCGACAGAGAGGATCCTCGCAGAGACCGCAGCCCAGCATGTCATCTTGAGGGACGGACACCAGCAGGTAGGAACGGCTTCCTTATCGCTTTGATTTCCCACATTAAAGTGTGTCCTGCCGCGATGTACATGTATGTTTATTTCTTGTTACACAGAGTGATTCTGAATTATTGTCGGGGTTTCCATGGCCTATAAACGGAAACCCCGACAATAATTTTGAATCACCCGTGTTTCAGCTTGGGCATAATCATGTTTACTTCAGTCGCCATGCTTTTTTTTTCTTCTTTCTTTGGAGAATGTGGTCTCACCCTCTACTGTCTGATCTTCTCTTTTGAAATGTGGTTGCACCTCCGGCGCTCTGTGTACATTACGCCTACATGTTAATTTAAACACATTAATTCGATGTTTCTCCAAATACAATGGCTGTCTCTGTAGCGTAATAAATTTGCAATATATCTAAATATTTTCTGATGAGAGTGCAGGAACGGTAAAATGTTTGGCGCCGAGAATAATGATGACTAGTAAAAGTTCCCGAGGCATATCGCAGTGCATATAAACAAAGGGAATTAGTGATTGGGCGTACTGCGTAGCATGCGAACCTCTAACAAAATTCGGTAGTGTAAAGAAATAGAGGCAAACTGAAGTCAAGATACTGGAGGCGAGATCTGCAAGGCGCCTTGTGCGGTGACTGTATGAAAGTCAGTATATTTGGAATACTTTCAGGGTGGAATAAATTTTGAGAGATGTACAGTGTTGTCAAAACTGGTTGACCGGCTTTGGTATTAGCAGTTATGACCTTGAGGTTATCCTACCAGATAATTAATTACATACTTGCAGGTGATTGGTTAGTTTGTTCTTTTGATGAAGTTACTACACGACTGGGCCGCGCCATAGCTCAAGCGGGTTAGTCGCTGGCTTCCCACCGCGGTGGCCCGGGTTCGATCCCGGGTCTGGTAAAGTGGGATTTGTGGTGGACAAAGTGGCGTTGGGGCAGGTTTTCTCCGAGTACTTCGGTTTCCCCTGCCAATCTTCATTACACCAAATTCTCCATCATCATAATCACCCGGGGCAGGCTACAATAGGCCAATCAGTGGTCGCCGTGCCGAGTGGATCCAGTTGGACTCCACCCCCACTAAACGACTTAAAAAATAGTACACGACTGTGCCTATCACAGTTGCCGCGCGGTATAAGGCATGAACTGTCCTCGCTCACTCGAACGCTGGGATCGTGGGTTCGAATTCAACTTAAGGCATGGGTATCTGTGTATGCGTTTATTCTGTGTTTGTATTGTCCTGTGTTTTGGTAGCGGCTTTGCGACGGGCTGATTACTAGTCCAAGGAGTCCTACCGTTTGTAAAAATGATTATGGAACTGAATAAGAGACCAGGGCCCTGAATGGGCTGGAAGAGCTATTAAAATAAAGTACGCCACTCTAATGAGTGAAGGTCGTATACCGAAAATTATACACATTTGAGCACCCAAAGACGAAGATGGTTTGTAGGCTTTCCTGCAGGACATAGGCACGGTCAGTTTTGAGTCCGAGATGGGATTTCACCCAGACCTTGAACTCTGAACACGAGAAATAGCACGGTATAGGAGGAGATTAGTGCCAAAGTATAAGAAACTAATGTTGTGTGAGTCAGGCCATAGGCTCTATGGGTCCGAAGGGGCTGTCGATATTGACCTCCATGCACGAATAACATTGTTTTCCACTGTAGACATTCCCAATATACTGTCACGTGTAGAATGGTACGCGTGACGAGGAAAACGTGTTCTCCACATAGTTCCGTTGATTGGATTTATTAGCACTTTCATTACAGCCTTTCTTAATTACGTTTAATTACAGCGCTCTCGCTGGTTCCATGCTTTACACGTAATTCACTGTCTCACACACATACACTCACTAGTCCTCTCCTGGTAATTCAGTGAAAACACAGGAACAGGCGCTTCAAATCACCCCAAATATTACACATGAATAAAGTCTTCTAATCACATACAAAGTCTTCACATGACGAAATTTCCGTGGCTATCTTCCACCGAGAGCTCGACTGAACTGCACTGCACTGCTGGGGTTATTCACGTTATATAGCCTCCGCACCGACCACACAGGAAACAGCCTCTGTTTTTGTAGAGGAGTGTTTATCAAACCAGTCACATGTTAGTCAACTCATTAACCCATTGGCGCGCTGAATGTTGCTTAAAACAACGAACTACGTGTATAAACATTCATCCTGTTGTTGAGTGCGCTTACGCGACTGAAGTTCGTGTGCAGGTTGTTGCCTTGAAACGCTCTGGCCATCCATGCTACAATACGTATATGCCTATGTGACGTACTAAGGGCGTTCCGTATATAATGCCTCCTATTTTTTTAAAGAAAACTACAACAGATACAGAAATCATAATAAGGCAGTTAAATAGGGCAAGATTTCAGCTACTTACAGCTATTTTTCCACATAATCACCACCATTCGTTATGCACTTTTGCCAGCGATGAACAAGAGCCTGTATGCCGCGCCCGTAAAAGTCTGCTCCAGCAGAGGCTAGCCACTTTCTTACAGCTGCAATGACAGCATCGCTGTCTGGAAAATGTTGCCCACGTAGTCCATCTTTCATAGGCCCAAAGAGATGGAAGTCTGAAGGTGCTAAACCGGGGCTATAAGGTGGATGTGGTAGGACAGTCCAGCCAGACTGGTATGGGGTCTAGCGTTATCGTGTTGCAAGCGAAAGGTTGTCTGCTTCTCTGGCCTGACTCGGAGAATACGGGCTCTCAGCTTAGTCAGCTTCGTCTTGTAGCGTTCAGAATTGACAGTCCCTGGTCGTTATCTGGTGATCTGTTCGGATGAGGCGCTGTTCATTGTGAGGAATAGCGGCTGAGCAAGGAGGCCCATGGCGTGGCTTGTCGTGCACTTCACTTTCGCCACTGTTGAAACGCACTACCCACCGAATCACTGTGCTGACATCCACTGTATTGTCTCCGTACACCTTTAGCAAGTGTCGATGGATGTAATGGGTACAATTTGTTCGGCAGTGAGAAATTCAATAATACATTTCTCTTTCATACGCACTTCTATGTCAGACGCCATTTTGGTAGACTGCTCTGCTGTCGCTATCTGTCGCACGACAACCAGATTAACAGTAGATTGGCGGGAAGGTTCAACCTTTACTACAACACCACCAACATCCAGTTCAGACGTTACATATTAACACAAAAAAATAGGAGGCATTATATACGGAACGCACCACGTATTACCGGCAAGAGTAATTAGGTGCGGTAAATATTCCTGCATTCCCTGTTCTGTGTGCAGTGATTTGGTGGAAAGGAAGTATCTTGACTGCTCAATATTTAATCTCTTTTCTTCTAGTTTACCAGAAGTTGGGAGTTTCCTGCTTTGGTCACCCTACGACACATGTCGACATATTCACTGTATTGTATATACTGACTTACATAAAAAATTGGAAGAAACGTATGAAGTATGCTTACACATAAGCATTTTTTATCTCTGATTTACAGTTTTTGTATTTAGGTTATATATAGCAAATGTGCGTGCCAAAAGCCTCTAAAACGGGGTTACTGATGTACACAAAACGGATATAAACAAGATTTGATAACACACAGAATTATTTTGACGCTTTCCATCGTCTGGCATTCTAGAAAACAGAAAACACAACGTTTCGGAAACTGGATCTCTTTCCGTGCTCGAGTGAGGGGGGGGAGACACCTATTCAATTGGGCCCCTTAGAAAAAGCTAATCTCAATCACTGAATCACTGATTTCTGTACAATATGCAATTTAATAGTCCTGTATGGTTTAAAACCTTCAAAATGATAACTATTCACATATTCATAAATGACATTAATTTGAAGAATGACTTGTTTTCTTTGATGGAAGAATTGCAACACATGTCTATTTTTTATTGCTTGGACGTGAGGTCTGGTCACGTGAGATTCATAGCAAGCTGCCATGGTTTGCAGTTATATTATCTGGGCGGCCCTTGTGCAAAATATAAAACATTCACTGACAGAACTGCTGATAATCTTTACTCCTGTCTTTCTTCCTGAATTCTGAGATCTAAGCTGAAAACCCCATAGAAATACGTTCGTAATGGTACTAGTAATTCGAGTGGTTAATGGCTTTGTCCAACGCTGACGTTCAAACGCATTACAGTAACCTTACAGCACCCACCGCGGCGGCCCGGGTTCGATCCCGGGTCTGGTCAAATGGGATTTGTGGTGGACAAAGTGGAACTGGGGCAGGTTTTCTCCGAGTACTTCAGTTTCCCCTGCCAATCTTCAGTCCACCAAATTCTCCATCATCATAATCACTCGGGGCAGGCTACAATAGGCTAATCATTGGCCGCCGTGCCGAGTGGACCCAGTTGGACTCCACCCCCCACTAAGCGAATTTAAAAACAAAAATCCTTACAGCAAATAATAAGTAACGTAGAAAGTATTTTGACTTTTGGCAGCCATTCCCTCAAAAGCGTCTGTTTTGAACTGATGCCGCTTTGCATTCCAAAAGATTCCCAAACCTGTTTGTGTGACTGTAGAGATCGTAGAGACTTGGAGTGTGTTCCTACGTACACTTATTTTTCTATAAAAGTACAAATGACTGTAATCGGAATTAACGCCATTAGCAGAGTTCTTATATAAAAAATAATAATCACGAAGCTAGTCAAGATATTCCCTTTTCTTAAGTAACCGAGGGTTCCGTATTATAACTTACAGTCTTGTTTCCCGTCTATAATGCAACAATATTACTTAATTTAACAACATTAGTTCACTAAATGTTCGTTAAATGTTTAAAATATCATTAAAGTTATTAAAGTATATGTGTACATTTTGTGTTTATGCTACATGTTTCAGACTTATAGGGCCATCTTCAGACAACACAAAGTACAAGGAACCCAAAACAGCACTAGATACCCACAGCTGAGAGAGCGGCACACCCAATGGGTCACGAAAACATCCGCAGTATATAAGATATGAAGAAAATCATCACATAAAATCATCCTACAACATCAGAATTCAAAGAAGTTAATAATAACAAAAAAGTACGTGCCTTAATGAAT